ATGGGAGGGAGGAATGCTAATTTTTTTTTCCAGTTACAAATTGTTACAAATGAAAGGGTCTCAAACTGAATTTGAGCAGCAGGAACGGTTGTTTGCCATGTTGGAGCAGAAGAATGGTGAAATTAAACATCTCTTAAGTGAAATTAGAAATCTGGAGAAATTTATGAGTTTATATGAAAGTATGGAATCTAAGCCTTCAGACAACTCTGGTACTCTGAAAGATACTACCTATTACACGGATTTACTTCAGATAAAGCTTGACAACTCAAACAAAGAAAATGAAAGCACTAAAGGGGAATTGTCTATACAACGAATGAATGCATTATTTGAGAGCCAGCGGGCTCTGGATATTGAGCGAAAACTTTTTGCCAATGAAAGATGCCTCCAGTTTTCCCAAAGTGAAAATATGAAACTGAGAGCTAAAATAGATGAGTTAAAACTAAAGTATGAACCTGAAGAGAAAATTGAAGTGCCTGTACTCAAAACCAGGCGTGAGGTACTGCCTGTGGATACAACCACCCCTAACAACGTATGTTCTAACGGTGCTGTTGGGGAAGAAGTTTCTAGATCACCATCTCAGAAAGAGGAGGCACAGTCCTGTACTAGCAACTTAAAAGATAACAACTTACAGATAGAAAAGACAGTTGCTGTAAACATACTAGGAATTACTCTCTCTCCTCACAAAAACCTGACTGTGAATATTCAGCCAACGAAGGAAAAGAAATATGTGAAACTTGTAGAAGTTCCAGCCATGAGTGAAAGAAGTGGGAACTCCCTTGGAAACTCCCCTGACTCTCACAGGTTAGCTACTGAATCAAAGCTTCAAACAGAAGTTACAGAAGAAAAAGAAACTGCAAGAAAATTGGAAAAGAAAACTTGTAAGAAATCACACCCTGTTCTATACGTGTCCTCTAAATCAACTCCAGAAACTCAGTGCGCTCAGCAGTAAAGACTGATCTTTAAGAAGAGTAAAATAACACTTGCCCAAAAGGTTGCTTTGGAGGTTGTCTTCAAATTAAGATTGTCTTCATCTGAAGTATACCACCGTGTTGGTTATTTCTTTCTACTTACTGTGCCAGGACCTGGCATGTTCATACTGTTTTGACCAAATGTTCTAAATTTGGTTGTGATTCCAACCAGGAGATTTCTTTAAGTGATGGTCCTTTCTGGAGCTCCTGTGTGAATAAACTATTAAATGAAGGAAGGTGTTGTTATAAATCTATTTGTTGCATTGTATATGGATTTTTAAGTGATATTAACACATACTATCAGAGCCATATATTATATTGTAACTGGATTTTGTCAGTGTTTAAAGTACCTATGTTCATCTTTATATTTTTGACTCTAAACTTTCTAAATAAAAATTTTTTCCCTTTAAATGATTATAGACTGGTCTATGACTTAATTTCATATATACTGTAGGTGGGTGTATTACTCTGTATCAGTGATTTTCAACCTTTTTCATCTCATGACACACAGACTAATTATTAAAATTCTGTGGCACACCAAAAAATATATTTTTTGCTGATCTAACAAGAAGAGGGGAGTATATAATTTTGATTCATTCACATCAGATAGCTATTGTTGTGTTGACTGTGGCCATTTTTTTATTTGACAATCTAAGGGAAAAGAGGTCAGTGCCCCTAAGTAGTCAGGTATTGCATGAACCAGATTGGCACTGTGGAGCTGAAGAGTACAACAACAAATGAGAAGCTCACATTCAACAGCAGCACACCAGAGTATCTGCTATGGCACACCCATTGAAAATTGCTGGTCTATACTATATAGAAAGAGGCAGAGAGATTTATTTTAAGGAATTGGCTTACATGCATATGGAGGCTGGCAAGTCTAAAATCAGCAGTTCAAAAGGTGTCAGGGTGGAGACGCACAGAAAAGCCAATGTCACAGTTTAAGTTTGGAAACTGTCTGCTACAGAATTCTACAGGTCAGTCTTTGTTCTATCTAGGGTTTCAGCTAATCACAGGCATAGGCTCACCCATGTTATGAAGGGAAATCTGCTTTACTCAAAGTCCACAATTTTAAGTCTTAATCTCACCTAAAAGCACTCTCACAGAAACATCCAGAATAATGCTTAACCACATACAGCCCAACCAAGGTGACCTACCATTAACTATCACAGTAGGTTAGTTAGGTAAGTCTATTGAAATGTATTAGGTAAAAGGAAATTCCCTCTTCTAAATGAATCAAATAAACTTAATTTATTGCAAAAAGCATACCCTCAGGAAATTAGATATTGCACATTAAATAACATCTCTTGCCAAAAGAAGTAGCTGAAGGCACTAGAAAACTATTTTAAACTGAGAAAAATAAATGAATAGCTTATTCATTGCATATTATAGAATGTAGATCAATTTCTTCCAACATTGAGTTTTTACTGTGAGTT